AAAAAAAAAAAAAAAAAAAAAAAAAATTAACTTGTTTACACTTTGTTATTTGTGATTTGTTTGTTCTCTACCTGTTGTTTTTACGCTGCGCCTTGAGCACCAATTTTTGGTGGTGATGTTTGCGCTTTAAAAATCATTATTATTATTATTATTATTACAGTATTTAATTAATGTTAGTAGAATACTTGTTCTAAAAGCCAAGTATTTTGCACGCTTGCAACATTAAAATTTTGTTGCTTTAGTACACCGTACTCTACTAAAATTAATACATCCAAACCAGATGAAATTATTACATCATACATTAATATATATTTAATTAAATAAGAAATGGGCAAGATAAAATAATATAAAATTCAAAACCTTAATGACGGATAATTCAACTTTGTCCTGTTAAGAGGAACTGAAATCCCTAAATGGGTTTTCCAATATTCTTATGTTTACCTGGTGACATTTGTGTACATTTTTACATTACGAATATTCTGTAACGTTTTGGTTGATCCTTCAGAAGCATTTATTTACAGTAGGGTAAAACTACAGTAGTTCACAGTCACCTACAACGTGACCACTTTTAGCCTATTGTTAATACTGATGCATGGATTAAAATTTTAATTTAATTATAATGTGTAAATATTGATGATTTAAAATTATCAATTTATTAATATGATAGCAAAATGATGTTTTTTTCTTTTCTTTAAATTAAAACCTACACTGACATGACATTATTAATACAGATCTTTGCATGGATTAACATTTTTTGTTATTCTGATAGCAAAATGTTGTTTTTTTTCTTGTTTTTTTTTAATTAAAACCATTGACATAAAAAATCAAATGAGGTGAATCTCTGAGACACAGTTGAATAAAATACAAAACAGGCTTAAATGTTAAAAATCTTGGAAAATGATACATATAAAAATTAATAAAATACTAAACAAATAATATATATAATCCAATCAAATTAAAATGATTATAAGAAATTGCATTACTTCAGTTTTACAATGTCAACATATAAACTGCAATAATTGATAACAGCTACATAATAAGAAATCAGCGACTAGTAATATTAACATACTGTACCAGTGTTCTCCCCAGGGTGAGGGTCAAGCATCATGGTACCTGCCCCCCCCCCAACCACACCATAGTTCGGGAAAAATTTTTTAAATAATGACCTAGATTCTCAAAAATGGCACTCTCAGACATCAAAAATGCTTTTTAAGATTTTTTAAATGACTATAGATTTCCATTAAAAAAAATTTTTTTTTTTGTGAAATTAGTGACCATACAGTATACTGTTCTGCTATTATAGCCTAGCCAGAATTGCCACAGGATGGCAATTTTGGACCGACCTAGAGGCCTAGGCCTAAATTTTAGCTTCAAACTGCTAGGCCTAGCTAGATAGCTAAATAAAACATCAGCCACGTAGGCTGCCTAGATTGACTAACACTTATCTAAGCACTCTCAGACATCAAAAATGCTTTTTAAGATTTTTGAAATGACTGTAGATTTCCATTAAAAAAATTTTTGTTTTTGTGAAATTAGTGACCATACAGTATACTGTTCTGCTATTATAGCCTAGCCAGAATTGCCACAGGATGGCAATTTTGGACCGACCTAGAGGCCTAGGCCTAAATTTTAGCTTCAAACTGCTAGGCCTAGCTAGATAGCTAAATAAAACATCAGCCACGTAGGCTGCCTAGATTGACTAACACTTATCTAAACTTACTTGTCTTCATTGTAAAGTAGTATTATCATATTAAAAACATTGTTTATTATAAAAAAAAACAACTAAATTCAACATAGGGCCTATCGCCTAGGCCTAATTGTTTAAACACAAACACGATCGCGTTGTGACTTCGCTGTCAAGAGAAGTACATGTGGTGAGAGGACATGGGCATGCACATGGACATGCATGGGCAGTTTTGAAGCAAACAGTTTGTGTGAATCAAGCCAACGATCGTGTTTTGAAATGAAAGTGACATTTCTCAAGGTAAAGATAACGCAAAATGAACGCAAAAAGCATGAACTTGGGCTGATAAACCAACATCGTAAGATAGCATTGTTTTGTGTTTAAAAATATTTTCACACTCACTCTTCTTCAAACTAGGATACATGGACAGCATTGTTTATTTTGAATTATTTTATTGACGATATTTTAAAGCGTCACGGAAGACGCATCATTCGTCCATCCAGTTTGGGAGCGTCGCAGTGCACCATTACGAGGTCCCAAGCGTCGCGGTACCATGACGCTTCAAGGGCCTACTGTAGAGAGAACACTGTGTGCAATGCTAAGTTTAAGTCAATATCAGTACCACATTCTATACTGGGCAAACATAATACTTTGAAAATAAATAAATACACCTAAATATTTAAAGTAACACTACAGTCAAAATTTTAAACTATTAAGTGTCTTAATAACTATATTTTATTCACTTGAATTTACACCTATTATTCAATTGTATTGAGAACCGATAAAAAAAGTCCTTGCACCAATTCAGCTACTACTACCCATGTTTAATAAGCCTCATTCAATACTAAATATAAATAAATCCTACAAAAAATACTCTATGTTAATAGGCTGTGGTTCTGCAGTAGTGGATTGCATGGTGACAATATTCAGAGAAATCATTTGACAATTATCCAATAATTTTGCTCTATAGTACAGGGACTTACACTATAAGCTGCTTTCATAACACAGGTAGGAGGTGGGAATGTGCAAAAATTGGGATTGCGGATCAGGGGTGTGAAAATCGAGAATGTCCACACTGCGGAACTAAATCCATATTTCAATGGAAACTTAATTGTCATTTTTAGTGTTTTAACTCACTTAATGAAACAAATTTGCTGCCATGGGGAGAGGGGTATATCAGTACCCCCACCCCTCAAGCCTATGACCATGTAGTGCTTAGCTACTGTACTATATAGGGAGAGTCGGTGTTTCACTTAGAGGAACTGCTTTCCCAGTCACTGTGGTTGATGTATCGAGAGCTTCCATTTCACACTCATCTTCATCCTCTCTTGTCCCAGACAATGAAGTAATCACACCTACTGTTTCGATACCCGCGTTCACAAATGACATCAGGTTTTTGGTTATGAAGATAGAAACATCCACGTCATGGTGAAACCAAAGGTACAAACGGATGGCAAAGAGTGGAACGTCAACAAGGAACGTCTGGATGCTTGAGACAATCACAACAAAATTGACATTCTTAAACTTCTTGTACTTCTGTTGAGTCAAAACTCTTAGCAGTAGCAATGAGATTACTGGCAATAAATAGTTGATGCATGTAAATGCCTTGATAGTTCTATCCAATGGGTATGAAAGGACAATTCTTGTTTGAATGACAAATAAGTTATTCAATAAAATCAAACTGTCCAGAATCCCAAATGCCGAGCGGAGTCCAAGTTTGTCAATCAGGAGTTTGTAATCATTGTTGCGCTCCCTGTGATGCCCATAAACAAGGCACACAAAAATTGGTCCAGATATAGAAAAGCTAATTTTCAAGGAAGTTGTGGAATAGAAACCAGTAGTCTCCTGAATTTTTTCCGCAAACTTCTCAAACATGATCACAATCTTCATACTCATGACGGATGCATACAATAGCCAGGAAACGTAAGCAAATGGCAACTCCTTCAAGGCCAATCCTACAGCTTTCTTCCAATCCACTCTAATACCATCTGTCTCATCTCTTTTACTGTGGGGAACTTCAGTTTTGAAATAACCAAAAGCTTTGTAGAACCCAAAGCACCAGACAATAGCGATGACACTATCTCCTATAAACCATAGTTTTCCTTGTAGAGGATCTGGTATCCATGTGGTTTCATTAGATGTTTCATTATAATATATGTCACTGCATAATTCAATGCAAAATACATTTAGCAAAGTCGCTTGCAAAATTAGCAAAAAAATGCAGACAATCACAGCACAGGTTTCAAGGATTTTTTGATATTTTGACATTGTGATCTCCGGATTCTGAAAGAAATAAATAAATATAATCATTCCTCTAAATGAGACTTTTTTTATACTGTAGGCCTACTGTACCATGTTTTGCGAACTTATTTTTTCAAAGATCATCAGAGGAGGGCAGAAAAAAAAGTAAAAATATAATTTTGTTTTCTTATTTAGCAAACAGTTTTGCCAAAAAGATCCAGAAGGACAAACAGAGGAGAAAATAAAAATAAAATCTTATTGGTGATTGTAAACAGTGTAGTAACGGGATGGTATGCTTTAAATTTACATAATTTGGAGGAAAAATTTGGAAATTTCAAGGCAGCAGGACGTAATAAAAATAAAGAAAGACTTTTACTTTTTTCCGTGACGGCATGTGCGCTAAATTGGCCAAAAATTTTATTTTTATTTGGAAATCATCACTATTGGTGGGTGGTGGGTTTGCTAAACAAGGTATAAAAAAAGTCTCGCCTTATGTGGTTGAAATTGAACAGTTAAATAATTTGATTTAGAAATTTTAAATTTTAAATTACCAGTGTATTCATCATACAGTAGTAAATACTTTATGTAACCAAGCAATGTGACACTTAGTAAGTCTGTACACAAATCTTTTGAATCAAACCTTGCTTAACTCAGGCAGTGTCAGTGGCAGTATAAGCATTGGGACCAAGGGGTACCTTGAGCACTCAAGGGAAAAGTCAACAATTTTGTCAAACCAGACCCTTTCCCCAATTGGATTTTATTTTTAAGGTGTTGCGAACTTGGCAATGCCCAGCTATGGAGACATCTGGCCCAGTCGTTAGGGACACATTCTATGCATTTAATAATTGGGAATAGTTTTTACCTGACAAAAAAAATTAACATTCAGTGTAAAAAAGGTAAATTCCCTGAAGTACAAACCAAATGGCATGATGAGCTGTGGCTCGAAAACATATCCTGGTGGCTGGCAGTGTGTTCTTCCTCCGCCAATGCTGCGCAGACCATCTAGAAGGTATACTTTCTGCGGGACTGTAGCATTGAACTTTGTTTTTCATATTGTAGGCTATGGCGGGATTGAAACTAGCATAGGAACTGGGCCAGGCCTAGTCTAGAGGCCCGCCTCTCTCTGGACTCCTCTCCCCTCCTCTACGCTAACTTACTTCACTCTGTACGAATGGGTGTACTGACTGACCTAGGCCTAGCCTTTATTATTATATAAATTCATGAAATTTATATGTAACAAACACATATTACATTACATTTTAAAGTTTTAATATCTCAGGCAATATAATGTGGAAACTTACATTGAAATAGGGCTTGGTTTTGTCCCACACCTGCAGAAAAAATATTTACGTAGCCCTACTCGGCCTAACTTACTTAAGTGCCAAGTGACATGCGCAATGGTATCAGTGTCGCAATAGCTAACATCAGTAATCCAATCAAAATACGCTATGTTACAATTTAATAATATGATTGGTTCTAACTCTCGTTATCTAACAATTTCAGTACTAAAAAATTCATCGTCTGATGTGTATGTGCCCAGATTCGTTTTCGGGAAGGCCTGGCGTTACACCACAATAAAAAAAAAAGAGGCTTCTGTTGCGTATGCATAAAGTCTGGAAGTAAGCTGCAAACAGTTATGCATACAGGTGGTACTTAATGGTATAGCATTTTGACAAACCAAAATTGGCGGGTAAACCAACAATTCTGAGGGTGTAGCTAGGCTAGCGTACATACAAAGAGTACAGATTAGGGTTAGGCTGGACCAATGCACGCTCATTTTCGCCTGCTGCTGCGCACAGACGACTGTTTATTCAGAGAAGCCTAGCCTAGGCCTACCCTGCATTGGCTAGATAGAGGCCTAGTCTCCAGTACAGTCAGTAGCTTCACAGGTGACTGCTACACATCGTCAGCTCACATCGTGAGTGGTGTGAGTGCTGGATTGTCCTCTGTTGCAGTTCCTCGGTTTTGACACTTTCGCTACTCAGTGTTTGTCATCTAACTTTATATAAACAGTAGGCCTAGACTTGCCCTGATCACTTCACTCTCTACTATGGCTGCTGTTGGCATAAACTACAGAAAAATTCCTTGCCGGTAAGTGCATTTCTTTTGTTTTATGCCTGGACATGTCATCGCCTATGCTAGGCCTACATACATACATGGGTAGGCCTACCTATTAAACTAGGACTACAGACAGGTAGGCCTATCACATATATACTATATAGGCCTAGAGATATAAAATATAGGTTTTAAAATCCAAAAACATTTTTAAAAGAAAAGGTTCTGATAAATCGTTGGCTCCCCTGAGCCAAATACATTGTATTTTGATTGGCGTAATAATTTTAATCCATGATACATGATGTACAGTAGTATTTATCGGCATGTGGCATTTTACTTAACTTTTTGATGTAAATTTCATGGTTGTTTGGTGGTCTTGTCTTTTCTTTTCTTTTCCTTTAATAAAATCCAAAAATATTTGTTTTGTTTTATTTGTACTCTTTCATGCTGCGTCATTTTTAAATCTTAGTTTGTTATGTAGATTTTTGATGTGCTAGAATGTATTGTGAGATTACTTTTTAATGTTCCAATTTTCTATTTAACTTTTTGTGTACATCACATATCAAGTAGTGATTTTATGTAAATTTATATTTTTAAAATACTATACAGTGCCTGTGACCATTTTAATTGGATATTGTGCTATATTAAATAAAGTTATTATTTATTATTATTGTCATTACCTTACTGTATCATATGTACATGTAATGCATTTACTAGACAATTACAAAAATCTCCATTTATTACATTATTGCGCATAAAAATGCAGTTTTCTTGCCTAAATGATGTTAAATTAAAACTAAAAGTGTGCATTAGAATTTGGGCAAAATATAAATTAAGTGTCCATACTTTAAGGCCAAATAAAAAAAAATTACTGTACTAGTTTCTCATCCCCTCGCACATCAATTTTTTCTGCCTCACCAATTTTTTTTTTTTTCTTAATTTCCTTTATTTTATGAAATGTACAAAAATCTCCTCTCTCGATCGTTCGTGGTTGGGGATACATGCTATGAATCGTGTATAGTGCTTCTTTTATTTGCTTTCAATGTGTCTAGTTGGTAAAAATGAGGAAGTAGTAGCTGTTTCCCATCGGCCATCTTGGATTTGCCATCTCAGACTAAAAGAAAAAAGAAAAAAAAGTGCCCTTATTCTCCTTTTTTCAAAATATTAGGACGAGAAACTACTTTTTTTTACTTGGCATAACATGAAGGCTTAAAATGAACTGAATATTTAAATTTTGCTGTTTATTCACAATAAATAGCAATAAACTGTGACATATGCTTTCAATAAATAATTAGGATTTTAATAGGTCAAAATATAAACTATTTTAAATCATGAAATACTATAAGCCTCTATCTGTAAATTGCTGTTGATACTCAAATGTGCGAAAGTGATAAATGCATGCTAATGTATGACAATTTAACAGCAGAGTCAATCACGCAAAAACAATGAATGTTTATTCATACCATAGTATGCCTACACACAACAATACATTATCTTAATAGAACTTGCAAGAAAAGGAGGAAAACTAAAGTTAATATTTAATATGGCAGCCTCCTATGGCTTTTTCAGGCACTAATTTTCCAATAGTGCATGACAAACTAATTTACACAATTTTTTATGTAATTGACAGGTTCTTTTTGAATGGCAAGTGTAATCATGGTTCTAACTGCAAGTACTCCCATGACCAGTCGAACAAGCCATCATCATTGTGTGTCTACTATCTTGAAGGAAGATGCATGTATGGTGATAAATGCAGGTATGACAAAACATGTATTTATAATTGAAGTACATTTCGCCCTCCAATTCGAGACCACCTTTGGGACCGGAAAATTTGGAGTGGTCTCGGAGTTGGCCTCCAATTAGAGGGCTAGCTTTGTGTTAAAAGGTTGAAAATTGTTATTTGAGTCATTGGGAAAAGTGGTCTTAAATTGAGGGTGCACTGTTTAATAATAATATTTTGGCATATATATAGCACTCTTTATCAGAGTCGCACAGTGCTTAAAAAATATGAAGTATGAAATTTTTGAAGTATGTTCAACTTAAGTTAATAAGATATATTTAATTTTGGGTATTCCTGTAATGTACTGTAAAAGGGAAGGGCGCCAGAGATAGTACTGTAAACCTAACCAGAAGTGTTTATGATTAATTATTAATATTTTTATTAAAATAGATTTTAGAAAATTTCATTTATATCATCCATTATAAACTATTCCTGGCATTTTAACAGGTTCATTTTTTCACAATATTTATTCATATTTTATGATAATTTTAATATTTTTTATTGCTTTCATCGCAACTGACACAAATAAATACATTATAAAGAAGTTGTAATTAAAGTGCTTTGCTATGAATGGCTTTGGTAGACATTATTATTATTGTTATCCTCTATTGACCCTACTATGTTCTAAATATTCTGTCTACTTCTGCAGATTTGATCATGATAAAGAGCTGGCATCTACTTTCCGTGTCCCTACTACTACAATGAAGCTGGATGACAGTTTGTCCAAAATGACCATATTAAAAAGAGAGGGCAATAAGGATGCAAATGATCTGGGAAATGTTACATCTTTGATCAGTTGTTCTTTCAAAATGGAAGACTGTATAGGTGCTGCAGAATTTGTTCCAGGCAAGCCATATCAGGGAAAAAGTAAGGGCTACAAATGTGGCAAAAGACAAGCTAAACCAGTCACCCGTCACAAATCCTGTTTTAGAGATAATGGCCAAAACATGCTGGAATGTCGACATTTTAAAAATCTATTTTATTACACTAAACTAGCCTTTATATACTTATATGTCATTCTGTGCTGGTTTTTTTCCCTCATTTTCAATGTTAATACAACAATTTTTGAAATGCCCGAAATAATAAAATTTTAAAAAAATATATAAATATTGTTCTTTAAACTGCTGTATGTTTAAACTCTTGTAACTTCATAAGGATGTTTTAAATGATTCTTTCTGAATTTAAAGTATACCTGGTCAGGTGTGGTAATCAAGCAAAATAAATAGTTTCTTGAAAGCATTGCTATAATGTAACTCTGAGGAAGGGAAACAAACATAGTATGATGTAGACTTGTATAGCTCATAATACTACGGTAGGTCTTGATTCGCTTTCAACAAATGTCCGAAAGAATTTGGATAAAAAATAATAAGATGAAGCAGATGGATGTGAAAAGATGAGTTTTGAGTCTGGCCTCAAATAGAGAAATGGATGGAGTTTCCCGTATATTAATTGAGTGTCAGAGTATAGGAGCAGCGATCTTAAAGAGCGCTCACCATACGACTTCAGCTTGCAAATATGAGTAGACATAATGGCACTAGTTAGTGAAATTTCACAATATGAGATTTAAATTCCATGGTTGGTTTGTTTGTTTGGTTTTTTTTACAGTGCCATCTTCATATTCTGCTGCAGCCTCATCTGGTGTTGATGTCAGTTCTGAAGTGGTGTATCTTGGCAATTCAGTGGCAAAGGAATCCAAGCAGCTTCTCTGTCCATTTCTGCTACAGGGCAACTGTCCCAAGAATGACCAGTGTCCATACACCCATGGAGATAGGTGCGAGTACTGCCGTCAACCCTGTCTACATCCTGATCAACCAGATCTTAATAAAGAACACATTAAGGTAGGGCCTGGGTTGACAGATAATTTATTCAAGAGTGACAAGTCTTGCATGATTTTTGACATTGATCTTTCAAAAAAATCATCTTACTTTTTCAACCAACACAAAACATTTCACATTTACTGCTTCCCTTGTTTGGAATGTCTTGCATTCTTTCAACGAAAACTTGCAGGGCTGGAAAAAGTGCGCGACTGCATCATAAATGTTCCAGAGGCATTTTTTTTTTGGTGGGGGGGGGGAGAATTAAACTGTTGGGATATAGTGTACAGATAAAACTCATTGCTTTGGAGGCATTTTATCAAGACAATTTTCATTGGTCGGAGGCACAAACATTTTTTTTCCAAGCCTGAATATATAAGTATGTATCATTATTTTTTAAGAATAATGGAGTAAATAAACTGTGCCTTAGTATGTGTCTATATATCCAAATTATAATTGTAGGAATGTATTGCTCATCACGAAGAAGAAATGGAGAAAGCTTTTGCCTACCAGCGCAGCAAGGATGTTCAGTGTGGTATATGCATGGAAGTTATACTAGAGAAATCAAATGTAAAGGAAAGGAAGTTTGGCGTGCTGTCGGACTGTAAGCATCCCTATTGTCTAAGCTGTATAAGAAAGTGGAGAAGTGCTAAACATTATGAAAAGAAAGTTGTCCGGTAAGAATCTTGTGTAATTATATATATATCAACTTTATTCATATTTCATGGGTGGATGCCAACTCAATTGGCCCTAGTTATTGCTCAAGAGGAACTTGTTTTCATTACAGAATGATTGAATGATACCACTTGAACTGAATAAACTGGAGAAGCAGTTTATACATTGTGCAATTGATTGGGCCCTATACATACTATCTAAATCAACATAATGAAGTATTCACCTGTAACTATTTTTCATTTGTAGGCTTTACTTCACCTCTCCTTACAAATTAATTAGAAATTAACAAATTAGAAGCAATTATGACAGAGGCCAGAAAGATCATCAATCAACAGAAATAAATAAGGCATTGATTTTGTTTATTTTTGATATTGCGCACATATCTGAGCTGTTCAATGCCTTTTTGGCCGTGGTCACTGAATACAGAATCCAGCAAACACAACGCTCTCTGATTGAGGATGATGATAACCCATTTGTAATGATGTGGCATCTGGATGGAGTGATGCATGCGACATCATTACAAATCTAGTTGAGAGCATCTATGTAACGAATGTACACAGGATTGGTAATTTCAAAGAGAGATATGTAACTGAGAATGTTAAGTCTCAAATTATGTAAAATGGTAAACTTCTTCTGTAACTGCCACACAACACAACTTTCACAAGCATAATTCAGTAGATATAATTGCTTGATTAATCAACACCGCCCTCTTTTTTTGGTCATTTCAGAGGTTGTCCAACATGTAGGATACCATCAAATTTTGTTACACCTAGTGATTATTGGGTTGAAGATCCTGAAGAGAAGAAGAAAATTATTGACAAGTACAAGTCAGTCCTAGGGTAAGAAAGTTGTTACAAATTACAAATCCCTGATATTATATATCTAGAATCCAGTGTATAACTTAAACATTGTGAAGGCAATAGAAAGTACTGTCCCATTTCCAGCAACGAGTTTACTTCCCCCCCCCCCCTTTCCTAATATTTTCCCGCCATTTTATTAGACACACCATTTTGATAACTTGATAGCTTTTCAAGAAAGTATCTTTGTACATGTATACTTGCTTTGGCACACAGGACAAAACCAGTGGAGTATCTGAAAGTCTTGAAATGGGGGTGCTGATGGATGGCGCGAAGGTGAAGTGGGGGGACTCGATGATCAGTTGAGGGGCGCTAACTCGCAAAATAGGGTGATTTTAGGTGATATCTAACTACTTGACCATGATTTTTTTTTTGGGGTACCCCCTAACCCTACCTCCTCCCCCGTGCACACTTCTCCCTCCCCTAGATAGGCCACTGATGGTCTTGCAGTCAACATGTTAACAGTCTCATAATCAAGTAAATGTAATTTATATTTAATAAATAATTTTTTAAATATATTGGATGATTGTTTTGTTGATAATTGATTGCATATTATATAATTGTTGCCATTTTTTAACTTACATAGAAATAAACATTGCAAATATTTCAACAAGGGGAAGGGAAGCTGCCCCTTTAGTGGTAACTGCTTCTACCTGCACGAGTTTGAGGATGGAACAAAAGAAGACCCTGCGACTGCTCCAAGGCGCGGTCGGAATGCACAAGGTGGTCATATGCTCAACACCATCAGTTTGTGGGACTTCCTAGAGGAAAGAGAGAATATGTTATTTGATTGGGAGAGTGAAGATGATGACCTTTGGTTCCTATATTACGATTGGTCTGATGACTACTACGACACTAGTGATTACGATGATGATTTCAGTGATTACGTTGGCCTCGGGTTTAGTGAGAGCGATGATGATGATGATGTTCTATTTCGACATCTAAGTACTGTGGCTGCTTCTTCAAGCAGCACAGGAACAGCTAAGGAAATACCCAAAGCTAGTAGCAACGGAAGCAGTGCCAAGGAAGTGTATAAAGTCGTGGTTGATGAATGCGAGGATGATTTTGGGGATGATGAAGACGGATTGGTGTAAGTTTGTTCAATGTTAGTTTATAGCCTGTGATGGAAATATGTTTTTGCTTCAATGCTGTCTTTGAATTGCTTAAATCACACTGTATGTTATGGTACCTGTTAGCCAAATACAAGTGGGGTATCATTTGCAATACTGACAGAATTGTACCAGATTGTTTTTCTGTCAAATTGATGTCATATTTAGTGTAAAAGCTTGTGATTTTTGTGTATTATCAATAATGGTAACATCACCTAAAACAGATAATGAACTAGTAGAATAGCATGGTCCATTACATTTTCTCGGATTGTAAACCAAATATTTACTGCAGAAGTATTAGATAAATATAAATGAAGGTTACATTCTTATTTCAATACTCAGATGAGGAAAGTACTGTAGCTTGTCTAAACGATGTCTATAAGTTGGCAGATTCTGATTACACAGGTGACATAAAGGATTACATTTTGGGAGTTGCATCGATCAATAACACATTTGATTTTCACTTGCTTTCTAGCATGGAATAAAATATTAAAGCAAATTCAGTTTATAATCAAGATGAACAAAAATATGATGTATAAATATATTTACAATTAATTATATTTATTTGTGATTACATTGATAAAGGAATGAAACATAACATATCCCGCAGGCATGAAATATACGCAATTAATATTATGTTTAAAAAGCAGTGATTTACCTAATATAAAATTGTTGAAATAATACAACTTGCTAAACATATATTTGCACTGTAGTACTAAACACATTTGTACGCTATGATTTAGACCTGTTTTGCATTGTATTACAAAATCCCAAGTTTCCCAAGAATCATGGGAGTTGCTTAGAAATTAGTAGTCTCCAGCACTCCTGCAAATTCAGAATGTTTGCATGTTTTTACTACTTCGTTTGCTAATAATAAGCCAGTTCGTAGTTTGAACTGCGCATGCTCGTATCACAGTCAATCAACATACTGTATAAACAAGCATACACATGTGTACTGACTTCAATTGACCACGGATACATTCATGCGCAGTTCACGCCACAAATTGTCTTATTGTCTCCAAGAAAATAGCTGACCGAGCATATTTTCACACACAGCAAAATACAATAGGGTTTGTTACCAGATCTTTCAAAAACTAGCTTTTCCCAACTTGGAACTCTGTATTATTATAACTAGTATAAATTGCCAAATATGAAGACTAATGCTATTAATATAGAGGTGTTTGAGGAGTAAGGCATCTATTTTGTATTTGTGTACTGTATGTGAACAAAAATATATGTATGCATTGTAACAAAATAGTCAAATTTTCTTGCTAGGAAAATTACTAAATTACTAATATGCGAATTACTAATATGCGATTTATACCAAATAATTTCTTCCCAGTTAATCTTGTAAATATTTTTTTTCAATGAATTTTAAAAATCTGATTATGATTGCAGTTAGTTTATAGTCTGCAATAACTTCTTGCATATTGCATTAACTTTTAATTCATGTAATTACTCAAATCCTTGTAAAAAAAAATAGTTAGTATTATCTTGCCAAATTATAGTGCGTATATATTTTTGAAATCTATGTTGTTTATGAGTCATGTTAATTTTGACTAAAGTTCTGTTCACACTATTAAGATTTATCTGACATAAGTGTGATTGGCCGATATCTGAGTATGACATCATCATCATCTCCATATATGGGCAAATCACACAACTCTGTGGGAACAGGGCTTTAGAATGTGTTGTGATTGAAAACAAGGCTATTTTAATCTTTTGTATTATATGATTCTGTAGAAGCAATAGGCAATCTTAGTCTACACTTAATTTTGGTATCAGACCTAAAGGTAGTTATGGTGTAAAGTGATGGCTGCTGAGACAAAAATGTGGCCCCCGGGAAGATCCATAAATTGTCCCCTCCCCTCCTTAAAATTTTGAATGATAATATATTTTTGTTCTTTTGAAAAGGCGAGGTTTAGAAAATGTTGGATCCGAGATACCTGTTTGCTGCTTCAGTCATCCTACCAACTTAGTAATGTGTTGCCCTGGGGATAAAAATTCATTTTCAATCATTCCATCATTTTATACCACAATTTACGTATGAATGGTTTAGATCTATGAAAAACAAGTATTAATAAGGATATTACTACAGTATTGGCTGCATATATAATACTGTAGTTTAATCATTATAAACATTGTAAATATAATAACTCTGGATGTGAAGGAGGATTCCATCCACCATTTAAGAAACAGAATTTCTTTATATTTTATATATATTTTGCATTACCATCATATATTATATTTAAATCAGTTCAATTATTAACAACTATCTTTGATTAATATGAATTCTGGAAAGAAGTATCAAGTATATTTCTCCACAACAATGTACAAAGTAGTTGTGGAAAAATGTTTTTTTGGATAATTAAAATGTTAAACTTGTTCCTCCTTGGTTAAAAGGGCCATCAGGTAATCTTGCAAAATAGTGGACAAAAGTTATTACTAAAAAAAATATATATTTTTGTTATTTCTTTCTCACTAATAGTGTATTGATGGTAGCCAGTTGGGCAGTCTGTAGTATTGTGTTAATACAAATACATGTAAATTATTAATTGGGTGAATGAATACAGTAGATAAGAAGAAGTAGATATGTTCCAATATTATATAATTATTAACAATACAATGTTGTATTATCTTAAATGTTATACCGTAAATTGGAAACTAATTACTGCAATTATATTAGTAAGAAAATTAATATTTTGTTGGGAAAAAAAGATAAAAATATTTAAACATGCTTGGAATTAAAATTAGACTAAAATAACAAAAATGTTTGTATAGAGGACTTAGGAGAAAGTGCTATTAATTAGACTATTTTATTTTACGATATTATTTATTTATTTTTCAAAATCCTCTATCTTGTAATTGTGAAGTATTCCATATTTTTGACATATAAATGTTTTGTAATTGATGCTTTTGAAATTACTTTATTAGGTTTTTTTTTTTTATAGAAAAAGGTATCTAATTTTTATTGCACTAATATGATGTGAAAAAAAAATTAATTATTTTCATGCACTTACAGTAATCAAATTATCATTCTAATTGTAGAAGTAATATAAATTAATTAAAACAGAAAAAAAAATTGTGTTTCAATATTTGAAAAATTACATGTATTAAGATTGTAGAATGAAATTAAATTTGTTTAGCTTATAACAAAGAATTTCAGGTTAATTTATAACTATGATTGATTAAAGAGTTGTAAATGAATGCAGATAAAGTAAATAGTAACTCCATTATTCAGAAAACAAATGAAAGCCAAGACAATTGTACGGAATGTGAAATATTAGCTTAGTACCTGTGAATTATTAGGTTCTGTCCAAACTATCAAATGATATGTCACAAAATGTGACATGTCCATAATCTGGGTGTAATATGACATCATCATGCCTATATATGGGCACATCACAGAAATTTGAGAGTGTGGTCATAGCCTTACTCAAGTATTTAGAAATCTTGGTTAATTACTGTCATTAAGTAGTAAGTAATCCAGAAAAAAGAAGAAAAAACACAGAAGAGATTATTATTTGTTTTTACTTTATTATGCTTAAAAACAAGATCGATTATATAGTTACAGATCTTGTTTTCTTGTGGTGGCTAGTGATATATTTTCTTTTTTTTTTAGAAATATTTGATTTTTCTTGTACTGTACTTATTTTTGTCTGTAGAAGTTTTTTCTTAGATACAGTATATTTCACCAGCATGTAGGATGCAGCTTTTTATTTTGTTTAATAGTTTGTAGTATATACAGTATATTGCTGTTTTATTCTATCTGCTTGTCTATTACTGAACACCATTGTACTAATTTCATACTGTACTGTTAGTAGACCAACATGTGGATTACCTTCTCTATACCAAATTTAATTTTAGATATTGATATGTCAGTTAAGGTTCCATCTTGCAAAGAATGTAGTTTATTAATTTTCCAGATTTTCTAATGATTGTTGTTATTACATAAGAAACCCATTTATAAAAATCCATGAATTTATTTAGTTAATTTTAATTAATTAGTATTATTGCATTCATTTTAATTATTGTTTTTTATCACTTGTGTTTCCATATTAATTATCTACTATAGGGTTATACTTTAATGATTTTAACGAGTGTTGATTTTAAGGGTATTTGTAGTAATATAAACCTATGCCGAACAGATTCTACCCATTAGTATGCTTGACTTATCTTGTACTAACAAGTTTAGAATGAATACACATTTTTCAGTATTTATATTATTGTCCATTTGTTATCAACAGAAGAATGGTGAAATATATTTGAGCGTAAATAAAATTTAGTTACATTATATTTAAGAATACTACTGATTTTTGGTACAGAGCTAAAGAAGAAAAGTATGACAGAATTCTGAAAAAAATCGCTTTAATTGGGTCAATTGTTCACTGCGCCTTTGATAATGTTTTTTGAATTGGCGCGTTATAAATTTCTGCATATTATATTATTATTTTATTATTAAAAGCAAAAGTATTAGCCATTGTGATTGCCAAGATAAATTCTAGTCAAATCTAAAATTGTTGGTACAAGTTAACGAAAGATAGGAATGTACTATCCACAGTCAGTCACAAATTTACTTTACTGTAATTTTACGATTGAAAATTACAGTATTTCTTACAATTACAGTGTATAGTTTTCATTAAGGTACATAGAACTTTGTATTCTATTACCTGTATAGTAACAGAACTGTGTTAATGGGCGTAGAAGCCAAGAAATGGGGAACCTCTGCACCCTTCCCCAACGTTTCAGGTTAGGAACCGAGAGCCTAAGAAACATGAAGTAAATTTAGACCAATGAAAAATTTTGAGGAATTTAAAGCGAGCCAAATGTATGAAAATCACAAGCTACCTGGGAATTATAAATACTAACTTAAAATTACCCATCACCACCACATCTTAATTGTTACCCCACCTTTCTTCTAAATGTAAATACTCTCAATGCCTTTGTTATTTTCTGATTGATGTTTAACTCGGTTTTGTAAATGCTGTTACCTCAAAAGAGATAAGGTACTCTATATAGAATTACGCTGCCTGACATCAGTTAATTAAGTATTAATTGAGTATACAGTATACTCAGATAAAAAAAAACATCCAGAATTATACTGTACATTTTGTATTATTATTGTTGTTGTTATTATCATTGTTATCGTATTATTTCCAAACATGCTTTTACCAACTCAGCTTTAATGCCTTTTGTATGATTCTGGTTTAAGTTATTGTAAATCACTCAAGTCGTGTCTTTTGTACAGTTTTATTGTATAAACTTAGATCCACTTTATAAATACTGTATCACTATTTGAAGCTTTCATTTGAGGTAAATATCTGATCATTACAGCAATATGTGCAATCAAAAGTAGATCAAGTAAAAATCAAGTTTCTTTTCTGTCAAAAATTAAAAATTTTCCTATAAAAACCAATTTTGTTTAGGTAAGGCGCCTTAAAAGAAATTATTAGTTTATTACCCCCTCCCTCATCACTTTTGGGGATTTTATTTTATTTTTTTTCAATCTACATATACAGTATTTTTATTTCAAATGGTCATTTTTCCATTTTTTTTCACTTGAAAAGCTCAGGATTTCTTGCAATAATGTTCACTGGTACAACAAAAACATATTTTTTAAATATAAATTTGATTCCATTCTTATGACTTTTTATATATGTGTCCCTAACCACTGATTTACTTGTGAACATCAGTAAAATGGGGGTTGGGCTAGCAAAAAAAAAAAAACCTCCCTCATTGGTTTTTATTCTTTTATATGGTGATAAACTAATAATTTTTTTTATGGGGCCTAAAGTGGGATTGTTGATGGTTGATTTGCATGCATTACTGTATTTCTGGGTTCATAATACCATTAGATTAAATGAACTTGGCAGTATTGGATTCAATAAATGGATGGTTGTTGAGACATACAATAATTTCTGCATTTCTTTTAAGCCAGTCACTCGCTGCGTTGTACAACTGTCGCACGACGGATCCACTTCTGCTTCTGATGTGCGGTAGACGACATAACGCCGTCTGCAGATTCCCAGTGGCAGTCTGAACGGATCCTCATTTAAAAAGCAGTCCGTTGGTTCCGCGCCATCGCGTGCGTTCGTTAGTTGTTTATCTCACGGTTTTATATACAGTATTTTCAATTCTTCATATCCTATACCAGTCAGTGACGCTAGACCTGCATGAGACCCTGTGGTATACATTATATTTTCAATACATTGAATCAGTATTTTCAGCAATTCATAAGGAAATTGTTTGTTGATAGTCTAACAGCATTTACAACATTTTCCCTTTACTCTTGTTTTTTTTTTTGGTTTTTTTTGAGAAAAAATTAACATTTATTTGATGCATAATTTTACAGTTATCGGTTATAAGAAAGCTACATGAAGTATCAGTCAAAGGTAGCTTAAATTATAATTAAAAATAAAAATTGAATCCTTCAATAAAAGCGAAATCTTGTCCAAGGAGTCCTGAGCTATGCAAACATGCCCAATTGTGCTTTACAAATCAATTAATTGTGCAACTAAAGATTTTAAAGATAAAAATATATTTTAAAGATATAGGCCCCCTAGGCCTAATTGTATTATAATATATTGATTGTTTTAATACATATTTTAAATCAAAACGTTTAAATGTTTTACAAATTACAAATCAAAATTTCAATGAATAGTAAATAATGAATAATAAATAAATAATAATAATAATAATAAATAATAATAATACAGTAATACTGTTTTACTTTGACTTTGACTTTGTAATAAAATAATGATAATATTATAACTCACTAATATTATAAACAGAAGTGTGGAGAATGCTGCTAATTTACTTACAAGACCTAGCTTCTTGATATGAATGATTAGGCATATGTTGTACAAAAATTTCTCTCAAATTCAATGCAATAATTCTTCAACTTTGATTTATTGTTTAGATTACAATTTACAAATAGGCCTCGGCTATTTGTTGGTTTGAAGATGACCAGCATATTTTATTTTATAAATTAAAGTTTACGAAGTCATAGGCCTAGAGGCCTAGATACAATTAGAAAACTTTCATATTATTAATATTTTTATCATTCATTTACAGGCGAAATTAATATTATCGCCGACGATTCACAAACCTACTCTGTCTGCACAACCAACTTTTCTCCTCTGCAGTGTTGACTCTTCTTAGGAGCCTCATTCTATATAGAGTAGGCTGCTAGCAACTAGGTATAGGCCTAGATAGGCCTAGATGATAGACTTTTAAAACAAAAAGATAATCGTAACGAAAAAAAATAAAGAATCGTCCTCACTTTATCTTCTCGAAATAATACAGCACGTCACTGATTAATTAATTCCAAAGATAGGTAAATATGATTATACAGTATATTATATTTACAATGATATGTTAAAATCCCATAATTGAATTGTCCTCATGAACAGAATAATGAAAAAAGTTTATGCAGCATCAGTGTTTTATAAAATGTTATAAAGCTATACGCGCGCACGCTGTTTGGTGACGCGCGCACGCTGTTTGGTGACATCATGGCGCCCATGCGCCAAGTTGGCCAAACTCTATCTTATATCTCTATGCTCTATCTACGGCTCTCTGTACAGTAATCGGTTATAGCGCCCTCTCTTGCTCCTTCAACTCATCAATTAGCAACAAGATACAAATTCCTGCTCCACTCTCTCTTCACTGTCTCTGCGAAACTGTGTATTTTACTCTGGTATTATTATTCACTGCTGATTGTGTTAGTAGCTGACATAAACAGGTTCAATTATTTTATTTTGTTTTTTGGAAAATCAGGTAAGACAAGCATGTTTAGGTCTAGGCCTAGCCTAGATAGAGGACTGGCCACCTCCATTCCAAATACCCTCCATTCCTAGGCTAGGCTTGCTGCTAGGCCTATTATGCCCGTCCGTGGCTAGGCTAGGCCTAGGTAGTTACTCACTAGGCTAGGGCCTAGTAGACCTGGCACCTGATAGCCTAGGCCCTAGGCCGCCCCTACTACTACTAGTAACTACTAGGCCTACTCAAGACCGGCTGATGATGTAGGCCTAGGTTAGGCTTATACTTTGTAGCCTAGGCCTAGCTTCTTTGCAAGATAGGACTAGGGCCTAGGCTAGGTCTAGGAGGCTAGGCCTAGATTAGGTAGAGAAGATTTTCTGCCTCTTCTGCATAGATAGGCTACCTAGACCTAGCCAGCCCAGCTAGGGCCTATCTAGGCCTACTAGGGGCCTACAGCGTGCAGTCTGTTGGCGCCAGTTTTTACCTTCAAAAGGGCCCCAAAAGTTTGACAGTTCTGAACAAAGCAAGATCTCGCATACAGAGCCTCGATCAAAGTCCCTGGAATATTAAATTATTAATATTATTCCTGGTGCCTGGTGGGTTTCATGGGGAGAGATTTCATTGTTAAAAATGGCCTAGAATTTGCAATCACTAGCTCCCACCACTGACTCGACCACAGTCAATATTTCTTCGATATTGTACGTTGGGATGGTTGTGTATGATTGTTTCACTGTTTCAAATGTATGATTGTACCGGGAAATAATGTTTAGCATTTAGGTAATAAGAGCAATATATACCAAAAAATATGTATTCCATGTTGTAAAGTATTTTAATTGCATGGATGTTTTGTGCAGAGGATATGTTCCCTGTGCAGGCATTATTTTACTACAGTCTGGTATGTATTTATATCTACCATACTGTACTTTACTTAATTATAGATATGTATGTAGCTGGCTTTCTGTAGTGGAATGTCTTCCTCAAGCCTTACAACATCCTCTTCTACTGGAGAACACATAAGCTCCATTCACAAACCCACATCCAAGTATAACGCCCTGTCCAATGGACTACGCCAGATCACTCCCAGCTCAATTGTGTGTTCTATGTTTTGTGGAGGTAAAGGTTGCAAGTATGATAACCCAAGCAAGTGGTCCGACAGCCAGATGGCCATCAAAGGCCTGTACTCCTCATGGTAGGTGCACATATTCCCAATAAAAAGAAATTTGTATTGCTCCCTTGAAATAAATATATGGTGAAGGCAGTCCAACCAGTCAGTCCTTGCAAATCGTGTTTTGGAGATTATGGCCAAAACATGTTGAAATGTCAATATTTTCGAAATCTATTTTATTTTTAGTGCGCTAAACTTTATATATCTATACATCAAAACTGTTGCAAGCTACCTCCCTACACTTAATTTTGTTCCCTTCCCACACCCATCTTTGTGCTCCCCATCAGCCTAGTAGCTCATGTGCTAGAGTAAGTGTTGCTTTTTTTAGAGTTTTCTGAGAGGGGGTGGGGTGGAGGGTAATATAGCTCGGAGACAAAAAGAGAGAGGTTACTCATCATATCAAATTAGGTTTCTGAGAATCCCCCACCCATTTTTTAAGGCAGCCTACTCTCCTGAAATGCATTTTGAACATTGTAGCTATTTGTGTACAATGTCCAAATTTTGTTTACCATTAGGAAACTAAAATAAAATACAACAAACCATTAAGAAATGAAATTATAATACGGTAAACCATTAAGAAATTATGTCATAATAAGGTAAACCATTAAGAAATTAAATTATAATACAGTATGTTATCCTGTTTTCTTATGCTTGCAACATAAAAATCCATTCATTTTAATGGCAGCATTGTAAGAATGCATAATATACAGTGTATGACGGTATTACATTGATTGGATATACAGGTTGAGCATCAGTGGATTAGTTGCCAAGGAAGCAAATCATAAACTGCAATTTATTATTATTTAAATTAGTATGATGATTTGTTGATATTGTAAAGAATACAATTGAACTAGGTTTTATGTGTTTTGATGTATGGCCTCAAGCAAGTACTGATCCGTTCTTTGAATTATTTCCAATTCTTATAGTTCATTGTACGATTAGTAAATTGTTAATGTTGATATTCAACGAATTTGGTTTTGCCCACTATGGCTCAGTTGGCTAATCTGGTGCTGGCATTGACCATTACCCCGGAGAAATTTTAGGAAAACAAATGTTTTTTTTAAGTTACACATCACAATTTAATTCATACTGTTAATTAAATTTGATATTTATGCTTGCTCCAAACCACTAAATGTACTACCAAAGAGTATAAATAAAACAAGAGAGCCAACAACGCTCATTGAGAGCGTTAAAAAAATGATACGCCCTATGCAGCTAGTGTAGGACGCCAACTAACGCTTTTTATGTTTTTTATTACCCAGTACTCCACTGCGCACGGTCGGTTTGTCTGTTTATCTGTTCTCCACAAGATACTGTAATTTTGTTTTCTGCTTACTGAGTTTATAGCGGGCGTACTCCTACCGCGCTGCGCGCAGCGCTGCGCTGGGAAATAGAAAGAACATACAACCGTTAGTGGGCATCCTACACAGGCGTGACGTTTTTACGAACGGGACTTTGCGCTCTTGTTCTATTTATACTCTTTGGTACTACTAACTATAATAGTGTAAAGATTTGGTGCTGCAGGCATTTGAGGAAGATAATTTTCATGGTTGGAGGCACAAAATATCTTTTCCAGGCTTTGGCTATTTAATACAGATATCACTACCTCCTATCGTATTGCCATATTCTATCACAGTAGTATCAGGCCAGTATAGGCATGTTGTTGTTAATATGTCTTACTGTAATGCTGTTGACATTCTTAATGCTAAATCTTTCAACACTTTTGTTGAATATTCCGTGCTGCTGGTATAAACTTATCCTACTTTTTACTAATACTACATTATTTAATAATGATAGAAAAAAAAATTTAATCTAAAAATTGTCATATTTGTGTACTTCTTCTAATCAAAACTTCTGTTACAAATTTGGAATTTGTAATTATTAGCTTTTCGAAATTTCCTTATGCAGATGCATAAAGCAGGAAGCCTGAAAAAGAACAGTAGGTGTTGACATCACTGTAGTAATAGTTAGAGTTGGTACTGGTCGGCTCAGTCCACACTTCATCATTTGCTACTAAATCAAGAACTACCATGTTGCTGCCTGATTTGTAGCCTGAACCAGTCTCAAGTGAGGAGAGAATGCGTTGCCCATTCTTCATGATGCTTGTTGCAATGTTATTATTAATAGCGCTATTTGAGCCTGATGTAAACTGGAAGACATAGATGCCTGGATGTTGACAGATAAACTTGCCTGTTTCTTTATTGTAGTGATTCCCAAAGTTGGTAATTATTAACGGGTATTTCATAGGACTAACTGGATGGCGGCCTGGGCTTACATTATATCCAACTGAGAAGGCAGATTTGGGCTGGCTGTTTGTGGTAGCTTGTTCACCTTTCCCTCCTTTTCCCCCTTTCTCACCAGTAGCACCAGGTAAACCGATTGGTCCTATTTTACCTGGAAGCCCATCTCTTCCATCTGATCCCTGGTTTCCCTTCTCTCCTTTTCCCCCAACATTTCCTTTCATGCCTATTGGACCAGGACCACCAGGATTACCATGGCTGCCTGGAATTCCTGGAATCCCTGCAGGAGCAGTACAACAGCCACCACAAACTTGGGTATCACCTTGAGCAGCTGCTTGGATGATGCAGATAATGCTGAGTTGTATAGCAATTGCAAGATACATTTTGATCTGAAATGATTAAATTAAAATGCATTATTTATATTAACTTCTATATGCTCATTTGTCTTCAAGAAACGTCATGAGTTTATTAATTTCTAGACAATCTAAAATAACAATGTGAAACAGTCCTGAGGGTTGCTTTATGTAAACATGACATTGTTGGTTGGGTGATGTGAAGGTGGGGGATAAGCACCTTTTTGTCCCCTAGATATGCCAGTGCTGCTACCCAGTATTTTTACTTGATGTGTTACTTCTATGCATTGGTAGTATGCTTTACACAGAAATTAATATTTATAGAATTTACATTTATATGAGGTCTGTCAAAATAATTTTTTTTAAATGAATAACAAGCCGAGTGGTAAGGCGGGGGTGCCGCTAAATACAGCCTTAACATCAGCACTGGTTCCAGCCGCTCCTAGCCCATGGGTAGAACCAAGTCTTCTCAGATAAGGACTTAGAATGGAGGCCCAGCTCAACACGATAACCTTTCACATATTCGGCTGTCTAATACCACAATGGAAGAATACCCGAGTTAGAAAAAAGTTATTAATATATAAACTTGTATGCTCATTAATAATATATAAATTTGTATTTATTTATGAACAATCTAAAATATCCTGTGGTTGCTGTTATCCAAACATATTGTTGGTTTAGGGGCCTTTTCAATGTGGGATTTTAGCTGTGCTTACTTTTTTAATTATTGCATTCTCAATGTTTTCATCAACAAAAGTAAATGATATGATATGAGTGGTGAGTCCAGGAATGTTGAATATAGGCCCGGGAAAATTTTACTGATAAAGGGTCACTGCAGCCCCACCATGGTTAGGGCTAGGGTAAGAAAATTTTTGATTACAATAGCTCTGAATGGCCGGAAATGGCACTCACAGACTTAAAATTTAAAAATTTAGGGGCCCCTTTAATTTACCACTGGATATAATATTATATACAGTCCATGTCAGAGACACATTATGTTGTTGTATCAACAAAGTCCTTTTGGGTAAGGGTGCTGAATCGAGGACCATGTGTTAAGACGCCTTTAGGGATTAGGGATCCTGCGGACCGTCGCTTGAGAGTGCATGAGTGTTACGCCGCTGGTTAGGTGAATTGAGGAGGTGGGAATAAGCACCGTTTGCCACTCCCCATATATGGCAATGCTGCTACACAGTATTTTGACTTGATTTGTTATATAGAAATTAAATATTCATAGCTTTCACATTTATATGAGATCTGTCAAAATAATTTTTATAAATGAATTTCTAAACAATCCAATTCACCACAGTTTCCCAAATGCAAAATTTTCATTATTTGAATAATCGTTCCATGTTCAGAACATCTGGTGATCATTGACAAGAAAATACACTTGTTGATTCTTATAACCTTAAACCTGTTGACTCCCCAATATTGTTGACCCCTGCCAAGAGAGGGAAGGATAGCTATCAAATACTTGGTGACAGGAATATACTACATACAGTATCTAATTGTATACTACTATACTTTCAGGTAGGCTGGCAAAAGTGGACTGTTTGCCCATGAATCATGATATCCAGCATAATCAGTATCTTGTAAGCGAAGGATCTGGTGGGGGAGGGGGGAGAGGACTTGATCCTGTCAGGAAACTTGGGGCCCCCTAACCTAACCCTAACCGACGATACAGTTTGAATCGGGAAACTTGGTTTCAGCTTAGTGGTGTCGGCAATCCTGCATTCATCAATTAACGATTGATTGATGGGTATCTGATATTCAGCAAACTGTGTTTTAGCAAGTTGGTCGGCAATATGGCATTCTGCAAACTGGAATTTATCAAACTATAAAGATACAGTAATTTTATTTTCATATAGACAGCTGTCAGAAGCTGCCCACATTCATCAGGTACAAAGAATTACATGTAGAGATAAGGCGAATATATGTTGCTATGGTTCCTTGCGGTCTTACTATTATATTTTTATAATATGTTAATTGATGTACTTTAGTTAATGATATTTTACTTAATATTCTGAAACCTTTTGTATCCAGGGCCCCAAGGGAGACTAGTTTACTTGACTGATTGAGCCACCCTGGCTAAAGATTGTGAATAAATAAATGAATAAATAAATATTAAATAAATTTTGATCTATCTGCATCCTAGTGAGAACCAACCTTAATTTTAATTAACCAAAAGGTTTTTTCAGCAGGTACGGCAGTTCTCTAAATATAAAGTAGTAATGCCAGTGGTCATTCCACATAATTGGGAAACGACATTGACTTGACCCTATTTTCAATATATGTACATTACAAGGCAATAGTGGTTGTTGGTTCCTATACGTCAAGTACATGATAAGAAACACATATTGCGTGCCAGAGAGAGTTAGTCCGTGAAAGAAATCGGATGAATAATAATCCAAGCGTCGTTTTGAAGTAATATATT